GTGTGGGGATAAAGATACTGAGGGAAGGCAAATACTAAGCATTGGAGGTATTCATACATAGAGGATTGGCATTGGAGGTTTTCAAGCATACAGTACATCTTTCTTTATATAGAGGCCTATTTCAATTGTATAGGATGAAATAACAGGTGATGAGAAATCTAATGGCCCAAACTTTTTCTTGCTTTGTGGCATCAAGATTCATGCAAACGTTTAATAGTTTCAGCCGAATGCCAGAAATAGGGTTGATTTACTAAAGTAAAACATAATCACTTTGCAAAAGGGAACTTTTAGGCCCCTTACACATGAGGCCATCCAGCTTCAGGGCCTCTGGGAAGGACAGGTGCAGCCTCCAGCACCACTGCAGGTAGCCTGTCAAAGTCTAGGTCAGGCTGCTGCTTGACAGGGCTGAACACTGTACTGAGTGGTATCAGCATTTATGGTCCTGTGCTTCAGGGACTAAAGTCTGGAACATGGAAAACCTGCATTCCAGACCTCCATCTCTGAACATACGGGACACTAAATGTGAGTACCACTTTGCACAGTGTTCAGCCACATCCAGCTGCAGCCTACCATAGTGCTGGACACTACATCTGTTCTTCATGAAAGCACTAACACACTTAGGAGGGACACACAGCAACTGGATGGCCCCATGTGTAAGGGGACTTACAATTTGTCAGGAAACTAATACAGCTAATGTTTATTTTTGTGCAGCTAATGCTCATGCCCATGTATCAGCACACAGCCGAGCTTGCATTGACACATAGGTACATTTGTGTGTACCAGCTTGCACGTCCACAAGCATTGGTGCCAAGCTGCCAATTTAAAGAAGATCCTGGTGTGTGCTAAATGCTGGATGTTCTTCAGCTTCCCCATGATCTATGCTCCTGCCTTTGCTGACTGATCTTCCATTACTGACCCAGCTTGTTCCTGACCTTTCTCTGTGGATTCTGGATTCTGACCTCGGCTTGCCTCTGACTATTCTCTCCCTGCTTCCCTGGCATTAACCTCCATCTGCTGCTGGACCTTACTCCACCTGCTTCTTAACCACATTGCCATCTCACCATGTATGATCCTGGATCACCTTGACTACGTATTCAATGGAAAAGCAGAATGGTTGGCCACACAAACAGCAATGTGGTGGATGAAATTCTTTATTGGAAATATAATAAGAAGTTGTTTGTGTGGCCAACCATTCTGTTTTCTCATTGCATCTGTGGCCAACACCTGCATGTCTGTGGAGGGGTTATGCAGATTCGGCACTCACCTTCAGATCTTTTCCTCTTTCAGTTCACATGGACTACATCCTTGACTGTGGCAGCCACCTGCTACCAAGCTACCAGCACCCGTGGTTCTTTGAGCCTTGTACCACAGTCACCACATTTAGGGGTTCTCAGACTGGAGCTGAAAGGGAATCCCTCTCATCAACTCGGCCTCCAACCAAGGTAGGTGACACAGTTGTTGGTTGCTCAGTTGTCATGGACTATGTTAGTAACATTTTTTCTGAAGGTAGGCAGTATGCAATAAGCATATGTAATGAAAGTTTCATTTTTTACAAAAGATTGTGCTGAGGTTTATACGTGTCTATTAGACTTCTGATTGTAGCACAGTAATGAAAGCATATTTTGTGGGTACAAAGGCTGTAACATATGCTATGTATACAGTTAGTAGGCTTAAGTTTTAAGCCTTTGTCCACTGTGCCAAGCCCACAACTGACTGTGGCACATTATACACTTCACCTGATTGTTCCCCATTCCGGTGCCCAAGGCCGAACCCCCCCCCCCCCCAGAAATAAAAATTATCTGCAGCCCATTACAGGAAGTTAGGTGTTGACTGCATTTCTGGAAGGATTATCAGTCTGGAGCCAAACATCACAGCAGGAGGTAATTCTGGAAAGAAAGTTGAAACCTATAAAGATAAAGAATTGACTTAAGGATTAATAAAAAAAAAAAAATACCTCTAGCTGCATTATGTGACAATTGCTAGATTTACATTTCAGATTTAAATTATATGTGCAAAAATCCTCTCATTTAAAATTCCAGGGTACTAAAGATTACAACTTTAATTTGGAGAAGTGGTAGAGATTTTGAAAATAATTATACCAAAAACACAATTTCAAAGAGAAATGCAGAGCATATTTTGTTTATTTAGCACTAAAGTTTAATTTGTTAAAAGACAGAAAGATTGGTAGGATTGGACATTTGTGGAAAGTGTTGAAATTCACAGTTTATATTGTGAATTTGGAATTGTTGACTATGCCTTCTTTTGACCCATGTGTCTCCTGCAAAAGTGTTGATTTATTATTACCACAGTCAGGAAATCCCACAGCTTATTAAATATTTACTGTTCTGCTACTAATAAACAATTGTTTATTGATATTTACTTGGTGTTTGAGACATTTGTTTTAGCTCAAATTTATTAACAGCTTTTCAAATATTTTCCCTTATGTACAGTACTAGAAAATATGTGTTGTATTGTATCAGTAAATAGAAAATATTGCTTAGGAATTTTTATATATACCACTTTCTACCAGCAGGGGGGCACTCTGTGCAACTTCGTGTTTTTTGAAGGCTTTTTCTTAAAACTGCTGTGCTAAAATTATAGCTGAACGACACAACCCCTTTCTCTCCTGGCAGAAATATGAACATGTTAATAAGTCAGTTTTCAGAAGTTGCCAAAAATCATGCAAGAACTTTTGGATTTCATTAGGACAATCATTCTCTTTTACATTGGGTGTCATAGGTCTACCCTGAACAACTGCTTGTTTGTAAAAGAAATAAATTATACGTATGACTATATCAGAGTGCTATTGTTATCTATCTAATGTATTCATACCTACCCACATGGAAGAAAAATATATTTTAAAAATATTTTTCCCAAATATTTTGACATATATTTGAAATACTACACTTTTGGCCGTATTTTTCTCTCTCTCTCTCTCTCTCTCTCTCTCCTCCCTCTCCTCACCCCACACTCCCACTCACACTCACCCTCACACTGTATGTTGAATTGTGCTTTATTACAAAATATCTGAAAAATATTTTTACAAATACATTTTCAAATATACTGTATGTCTTTAAAAATACATTTAATCTATATTTTTGGAATGCATTTACAAATATATGTAAAAATATATGTAGAAATTACTTTTTTATATGTTACAAAGTATATGAAAAAATATATTTTTTAAATATATTCTTCAGATATTTTTTAATATATAAACAAATGCATTTCAAAGAGAGAAGAAAGAGAGAGAGAGAGAAATAGGGAGAGGGGGAGAGAGAGAAGGAGAGAAGGGGAGGGGGGGGGAGAGAGGGAGCGCAAGGGAAAGAAAGAGAGACAGAAAAAGAGAATGGCCAAAATTGTAGCATTTCAAATATTTGTCAATATATTAGGGTAGAAGATTTTTAACATATATTTCAAATATATTTTTCTTCTATGTGGGTAGGTTGTATTTATTTAGAATTAAACCACTGTAAATACAAATGAAAATAATTTTTTACAATATGCAATTTTTTGTATCATTTAGGTGTCTGTTGGTAAGCAAGTATCAGATATTTTAATTCAATTATGGCATTGGTAAGCTCCAATTCACTCCTGGATATTGGTACTTTAATGCATTTCTCAATTTCAGTGATATTACATGGAAAGATACATGTACAAATATAGCAAGTAAAATTTAACAGAGCGATATAGCAGCAGCGATACTGATTTTGCCTTCTCACAAATGTTGGCAAAATTAGACAAAATTTTCACACGTTGACTGGGTAAATTTTGTTTTCTTTTTTTAATAGCAAAAAATATGCTTAAAGAGTAAATCCACTTTTGTTGAGAAAAAAAACAAAATCAATCCCCTTTGGGAGGTCCATGTGCATTGTCCTACCTGTTTCTGCTGTGAAGAAAATAAAACTGTTTGCAGAATGAATCTGATTGGGAGTGACTTTCTCATTATTAATCAGCTCATACACTTGCAGTGTTCTAACAAAATGCAAAATGCAGGGTCTGCATCCCTTCAGAAGTGATTAAACCTTTAGGATATCTAACCAAAAATGACATTTTTATTGCAGAGGATGTCTAAAATCCAAATGTATCATTGGCTAGATTCACACTGTTGCGGGACAGAATTGTACACATTCCCGCACCTGCAGCCAAAACACACTGATTTTGAGCAGATGCACGGGGCTACCATTAATTCTTAATGATACCCCCACACATCAGAAAACGCATCGAGTTTTCAAGTGCATGAAATCACATGGTGCAAAAGCACCATGTGATTACAGTGTGCGGCTGAGTTTTAGAAAAAGGTGCTGGGACCTCTTCTCTGCATTTCCACCAGGTACAACAGCCCATTCACATGATTAGCATAAACGTGGCACACACATAACAGCCTTAGTGCAGACTTTTTGGAAAGCAGTGCGCGCATCACAAAAGCAGGAAATTACATTTCTGGTGATATTCCGCACACCAGGCCTCCAGGTTCCCATAATACATTCAATTTGCAGCACTGTTATCTTCTGTAAAATGTAAAGGAAAGATAATTTTTCATAACATTCGATATGGCTTGTGTAGCAATTGTATATGCTTTATTTATTTTATTTGCTATTTTTACCCGCAAAAGTAGTTACCCTTTACATTTTTTCTTCACTATTGATTTCAATGCATTTCAAAGAAATTGGATGAATTTCACCAAAATGTCTTGATTTTCACTGAATTTTCAGCGATGCAAAAACTCTCATCCCTAACAGCAAACTTAAAAATCCAAAGGAAGGATCATAACATAAAACTGTAATGGAATGTATGATTTTTCATCACCTTAAGTTGACAACTGTATTTAATGTCTATAATGTGATGATTTAAATAAAGAATTAAAAATTTTTTAAGTAAAACTGTAATGAGAAATGAGATCTGACACTACTTGCTGAAAACTAAAATGAATATTTCCCGTTAATATTTTGTGTGTACTTTACTGGACAATGATATTTTCTTTGGCGAAAAAAAAAAAATTACATCTTTGATTTTCTTGAGAAGAATTGCTGTATAGCATTAAGAGCGTCCTCGGAGTTTGCTCTTTTAATGAGAAGTTCCATCTCTTTTACACATACAGTGTGAAGTTTCTCGTTATCCACACTGCGAACCAACTGTTTCGAAAGAGCCAGACACTGATGAAAAGAAGACAGCAAATGAAGTGTTAATTTGTTACATCCATGCACATTATTATTATAATTCAAACATATTATTATAGTTCAAACATAAACGTTTGCAATTACATTTGCCAACGTCAATAATTATTACCAAACAAGGTGGATGGTGGTTTCCCCCATGCCAAGACAACAACAGTGTCACCGCTTGACAACAGTGAGTGCAACTGATTGGCTACAGCTGCTGATGGATACAAATTTTCCAACATGTCCCTTTAACACAGTGGTTCTCAACCTGTGGGTCGCGACCCCTTTGGGGATTGAACGACCCTTTCACAGGGGTCCCCTAAGACCATCAGAAAAGACATATTTCCGATGTGTAAAGAGCAGCTACTGTGTAGAAAGGAGCTGCTGTGTTGAAAGCAGCAGTATTGGAGGTAAAATGACACTCATGAATTATAATTACTGGGTAAATAATTTTATGGTTGGGGGTCACCACAACATGAGGAACTGTATTAAAGGGTCACGGCATTAGGAAGGTTGAGAACCACTGCTTTAACAGAAGTCAATCAAATGATCCACTTCTGTCAAGTGGAGGTGGAGGCAAACCAGCCAAATTTCTATCAGTGTATGGCCAGCTTTAGTAGCAGAGCACTATAATTTGCGGTCTGTATCTCAATATAAAACTATAGACGGAGCTCTACACATATGCTCTTAGCTAATCCTGTAACCAATTTTCCCATAACAGTTGCTCAACAAAAATGATAATTAAGGTGGCTCTAAAAGGTTCATTTTTTTTTCTTTAAAATAAAAAACACATCATACTTTCCTGCTCTGTATACTAGTTTTACACAGAGCAGCCCAGATTCTTCTCCCCTCGGGTCCCCCTGCTGGCTGGCCCCCTTTTTGAGCTCCCCCAGAGCAAGCTTGCTTTGGGGGTACTCATGTGTGCTCGCTCCCGAGCCACTGCTGCATGTCTGAGACACACAAAGATTGGGGAGGGAGCGGAAGGTGGGACTGAGCCACAGACTGATTGACAGCCAATGGCTCCTGCTGCTGTGCCTCAGCCAATGAGGAGAGAGAGACCCGGGAGAGATGCTGCTCTTGTGCACTTCGCTTCATTGAGATCGAATTCAATTAAGTATTGGGGGGCTGTGGGGAAAGCTGCACACTGAAGGATTTTTTACCTCAATGCATAGGTAGAAACCTTCAGGCTTTAGAACCACTTGAAACTACCTGATACACATATAATCAAGGACATACTTGTAAATTATCAAAAAAATATGAAAATTCATTCAGTTCGCTGAACCCACCCCGAAGTTCAAGAATACTGAACATAGCATTGAGGTCTTATAGGAGCCAAATCTGGTTATTTTTCTCTGGCCTTTTTCAAGGGTAATCATCAAGCTTTTGTTAACAAATGGCATGGGTAACTGGGTATTACCACTGGGAAGATGTTCCAATGCAAAAAAATCTATATTTTTTGAATGCTGTTCAGTGGGAACAGGGAGCTTTAATATGGCTTAAAGGGCAACAATAAACATAAGTCCTCATGCACACGGGGCATTTTAATGACGCTGGTAATGTTAGCTGTGTAGAGTCACGTTAAAAACTTGAGTTTTTCAGCTTTTTTTTAGCATGTTTACTTTAGCATTTAGCGGTGTTTTCATTTGCATTTTTTAGTGTTTTTTTTTTTTTTTTTTACCAAGAACAAAAGTTTTTTGGTTTGTGGCGTTTTTCAGCGTTAGGGTGTTTTTACAGCTAAAAAACTCCTCTAGAAACCCACTAGTCCTGGGGTTTTTTTCCAGCCAAAAAAATGTCCCTGCCAAAAAATGTTGATTACAGTCTATGTGTACATGGACACATAGGATAACATGCTGGGGAGTTTATTAACTGTAGAAAAAACATCAAAAGCCAAAAACAGCAGCTGTAAAAATGTCCAGTGTGCATGAGGACTAAAGCTGCATTGGAAAATGTGAAGCAGTACAGATATACCCCTTTAACCTATTTCAGATAACTGAACACATATTTGGTGGAAGGAAAGGTGGGTCTTAGTGCTAAGAGAATGCTCACTGTGGGAGTTTCCAGATTTGGATAAGTTCCACTCCTCCACCACCACCCACGTTCCTTTTGGGGGGCAGAGAAGATGTGGGGAGGCGGCTGTTGCCCTTAAAAATGGGTCAAGGTGCTCTGTGGGGGTTTGCTGCCCCTCCTCGCCAAGGTACTCTACAGAACCATACCAGGCCACTGTCCTCAACATTGGTAGAGTGGGCTCATGCATGCTGCTCCCCTTTGCAGGCTGCATGCTTGGATAAGGGTCTTTTATAAATGTTTGCAGGGACCCCACACTGTTTAATTTGTTTTAATAAAATGTTGTACTGGAAAAAGAGGGCCCCACCAATATCATTCCCTACCCCTAGATGAATGAGTACACACAGCACAGTGCACCACTTTGCACAGATGAAAGCCATGTGTGGCTTGTGGTGTGCTGTGATAAAGCACACCATACCTTGAGGTGTGGTGCCAACCCACTTAAAATTATTGGGGTGCCTTAAAACAGTACATCTTACCTTATGGCAATGGCCTGTATTAATGCACATACATTACTGTAGCATATAGCGTGGAAGGGACCTATCACTATTTACTATAACAGCTTTAAAAGTGGTTGTAAACCCTTACATAAAACCACTGAATTGACCACCCTTGGGTGATACACAGAGAAGAAACAAATCCTCCCACATAAGTTGTACCTGTTTATCTGAAGCATTTTCTTCTCTACAGCCTTCTAAAACACACAAATTAAAGGATTTTTTTTCTCAGCTCCAGCAATCAGGGGGTTGGGATCTGAAACCACACACTGCACCTGAGCTGAGTGTAATCTGAGACCTGAGTGGAGGGACCCTTCTTTGGCTGATTGGGGGGGGGGTGGGTGCTATCTTCCAAGATTCTGTGGTCAGGATAACCTGTCAGAAGTGACTAATGCAGATAGCAGACGGAAAAGATAGGAGACAGAAATCACACTAGGTGCTTCGGAGTGAGGTTAGTACACACTATAGAGGGATACGCTTTTGTTATTTTAATTTAGGAGGTTTACAACCACTTTAAAGCAAAAACTTACATTTTTAGGAAAGGTGGCATAAGATTTCAGCCTTGACCAAACTTCCTGCTGAAAGGTACTGTCAGGAAAAACTTCAGTGACCAGTCCAAGGTTACAAGCTTCACGAGCCGTTAGTGTCTTGTTGAAAAGTAATACTTCAATAGCCTACAAGAAAATACATGAAAAGTGTGTATAGTCAAATTATGTTGTAATTAAAAATTAGAAATAATTGTCTGGGAACTACAATTGCTTTGCAAAAGGAGACAGTTTTTCACTCTTGCAAATCTTCTATAAAAAAAAAAAGGAACATTAATTAGACCATCATTCTTTCTATGTGCAAAAGAGTGTCCACTCCAGCTTGATGAATTCAAAAGGGCTTTCATCATGCCAAAATGCTCTGAGGTTCACTCCTTGATTTTAAATACACGTTCTTCTACGCTATGATGATAAAATATGCCACAAAGAAATGGTAGACTACAGACACAAGTTTCTTTTGCATGGCAGTGCTGGAAGGTTATAGTCATAACAATAGTATAATATGATATTCAAAGCAAGGCCATTAGGAGGAAACGCAAACAAATCAGAGCAAAACCATTAGAAGATCAATAAGACATAGCCATGCACAACAAAATGGATACAGCAGTTTGCCAGTTTAAAAGAAATATCCATTAAAAAAAAACAACAAATTTAGGCAACAAGTTAAAGCAAGTGAGCGACTAAGTGCTATTCAGTAAAAACAGCAACTGTGCTAAAGTCAGAAAATTCATTCAAATTACCTATATCTGAGTTCTCTGAAATTATCAGCGCTAACTGAATAGGATTTCAGAGGGTTACTAGGAGGGCAGTAGGAGTATACTGCCTGAATTATTTGCCTTATAAAATTGATTTAGCTGTTTCCTTTATCACCAATTACATTCAGACTTCCAATACAACTTTGAATAGGAAAGAGGTGGAAAGTACGCCTTTTAGTACCACCAGCAGGTGTGTTCTTCAAGAATCACCAGATTGCAGACAAAAGGAGATCATCATGCCAAAAAACTGTCTTTTCTTTAAGGATAGTGATCATATAAAGCCATATCCCAAATCAAAAGTTTACATATACCCTGGAATGTTTGGCCTTGCTACAGACACACGAGGTAACACACACAGGTTAAAAAATGGTAATTAAAGGGTAATTTTTCACATCTGTGGCTTTTGTGTGTGTAAATAGTCAATGAGTTTGTTAGCTCTCACGTGGGAGCACTGAGCGGGTAGATACTGAACCATGGGGAGCTGAAAAGAACTGTCAAAATACCTGCATAACAAGGTAATGAAACTGTATAAAAATGGAAAAGGTGTTTGACATGTACAACAACATCTATGGTGAGTCATTTTCTCCTTCCTCTGAAATAGCTTTCCTATCCATCCTACCGTATTCCCTGCGGAGTCAAAAGTCTTGTCTCATTTTTATTTATTTTTTTTAATCGACAGGCAGGGAATTAATAGTTGCTGTGTGAAAGACCTCTTGTATACCCTTCCCTCCTCAATTGGTTACACGTGATGAATGACATTATGACTGTGGAGGAACTCCTCACCCAAGAACGGGAAACCTCAGAAAAGTTTCTTGCTCTATGGACGGCCTGTATCTTTTTTTTTTTTATTAACTTTTTATTGATTTTCAAACAAGTATAACAAACAGAGTTACATAGAGCATCAAAAAGAAAAGAAAAACAGAGAATGAAATAGGCTCATCGATGAGAGGCATTCAAATACATATAATGTCATTACACAACAGTGGTTTAGCGATCAGTTTCAGACAACTGAGTAGACAAGTCAGAGTTGGAAGTATCCCATGATTCCCAAATTGCTTCAAATGTGGAAGCAGAGTTAGGCCTGGATCTTTCATTCCTTCTCTGAACCACTAAAACAAAAACTGTGTTAAGCGCAGAATTAAGGTGCGCATCCCTGGCCCTCATACCATTAGATTAGTTACAACACGTGTAATTCCACAGGGCTGTCCCAAATTCCTCCACACTCCTCTTTCTTTCTTCCTTCCTTTCTAAAACATTTATATTACTCTTCAAAATGTAGATTGTACTACATTACACTTTATTACACATGACCCTGATTGCGCTGACCAGATACTACTCAGGATGGCCACCAGCGGTGGTCAGACGTCCGGATACTGTAGCCCCCCTCACGGGTTTCGTGCGATGCACATTATCAAAGGGTCCTGGGCCACACACTGTATTTAATTATATATATTACAAATAATTTACCTTTGACAAGCCCATTATTCTTGGGAAGGTATAAGAAGAGCATGCTTCTGGATGTTGGCCGAGTTTGCTGAAAGGTGTGTTAAATGTAGCCTGTAAATAGAACAGTGATCAGAAATATTCTTACAGGTCAAATATTTAGCTTTAAAAACAGCGTAGGAATAATATTTTCCCTAATTTCCATACAGAGTTAATTCCACATAATGTTTTTTTTTCCGTACGTTTAACTGGCAAATCCATTTGAAAGCCACATGACATTGTATTGTGCAACTTGCTCTCTCTATGCCATAGGCAGAATTAAGTATGACTGGTCTGCATTAGCTCTAAAACAAGTAACTAGTGTTCCCAGATTACCGCTTGGCAAGAACAAGGTTTTCAGCAATGCGGTTGTCTGAGGCAGTACAGCTACTCTGCCTGGATGAATGGAAGAATGTTTTGATGGGTAGGCTTGGTTGAGTGTGCACATTTTACAGTTTAATTTCCAACTTTGACCTAAATGTTTTGTAGCAAAGTTCTCATTGAGGCTAGCCTCACACCTGCGCAGTTTGCATGTGGTCCATTTCTGCAGTGCGTTTTTGAAATTGTTCGTTCTCTTGTTGCTAGGTAGATTAAAAACACATAAAAAACGCACTGCATGCTTTTCTGCAGCATCTCCATTGAAGTCTGTATAACCAAAAACGCAACATTTTGCATTTAAAAAAAGTCCCTGACCTTTTCCAAAAAACACACCGAGTGAAAATGCGGAGATGTGAACCCGTCCCCTAGGAAATCATGTTATATGGGCTGCTGTGCGTTTCTGCAAAATGCTGTGGAAAACGCATAGGGGTGAACCTAGACTAACTCGCTATGCTCAGATGCAGGAACATTAGCTAATTTTTCTACATCTCCCTAGATTCCTGGAAATACCCAGGAAAGAGATGTTTCTGTGCATTCCTCCTTCAACACTTCAGAAAGGCTACGCCTGATGAGACAGATGTAGCTGAGCAAGTGATATGCAGCCAGGTGCGAGGCCCTCCAGTGTCAGAACCCACATGTGGGCAGATGGGCCAAAGCCCGATAGCATACAGTTTCTCTGGAAACCCTTTCCAATTGCTACAAGGGCACTGCCTTTCCAGTGGGGTGGTGCTTGGGTCATGGGTCCATTCAGCTGTTCACCTGTATTACCACTACCCTGGACTTCACTGAAAAGGACACTGGGGATAGTAGCAAGTAGCCATGCTCTGTATTATTTTCTGGATTTTTAGCTAGACTCAATTGTTAGAGTCCTATAGAAACCATGATGAGATGCTGCTGTAAAGAATCAATTTTTTTGCAGTTTTCATAATCTGTTTTGCTTTATTATGCAGTATATGCATGACCCTTGCCATTCTGAACCAGTTTAGCATTATTACTCTAACTTTTCACCTGTTTAGTAAACTGCAAATTACACCATTGGTGGCCCTGTTGGTGAAAACTCAACAAAACTTTTGAGTGAAATGTTTTAGGAGTCAAGTGGAAAATTATCAGTCGAATAGTGACTGCATATTATCAGATGGATGTCGGGTGTCATGTTTGCTAAATACAGTAACAAACAAGGGAGATCCGTCCTTCCATACTGTTTAGTTTGGATGGAGAAATCTACAGTTGCAAGAAAAAGTATGTGAACCCCTTGGGATTACGTGGAGTTTTGCATGAATTGGGCATAAAATGTGCTCTGAACGTCATCTAAGTCACAACAATCGAAGAACACAGTCTGCTGAACATAATACTACACAAACATTAGATGTTGCCATGGTTTAATTGCACATAACATGTAAACATTCACAGTGCAGGGAGGAAAAAGTATATGAACCTTTGGACTTAATAACTGGTTGACCCTCCTTTGGCAGCAATAACCTCAACCAAACGTTTCCTGTAGTTGCAGATCAGACCTGCACAACAATCTGGAGTAATTTTGGACCACTCCTCTTCACAAAACTGTTTCAGTGTAGCAATATTCTTGGGATGTCTGGTGTGAATCGCTCTCTTAAGGTCATGCCACAGCATTTCAATCGGGTTGAGGTCAGGACTCTGACTGGGCCACTCCAGAAGGCGTATTCTGTGCTATTGCAGCCATTGTTTTGTTGAATTACTTGTATGCTTTGGGTCATTGTCCTGTTGCATCACCCATCCTCTGCGGAGCTTCAGTTGGCGGACAGATGGTCGTACGTTTTCCTGCAAAATGTCTTGATAAACTCTGGAATTCATTTTCCCATCAATGACAACAATCCGTCCAGGCCCTGAGGCAGCAAAGCAGCCCCAAACCATGATGCTCCCTCCGCCATGTTTTACAGTGGGGATGAGGTTTTGATGTTGGTGTGCTGTGCCTTTTTTTCTCCACACATAGTGTTGTGTGTTCTTCCCAAACAACTCAATCTTGGTTTCATCTGTCCACAGTATATTTTGCCAGTAGTGCTGTGGAACATCCAGGTGCTCTTTTGCAAACTTCAAACGTGCTGCAATATTCTTTTTGGACAGCAATGGCTTCCTCCGTGGTGTCCTCCCATGTACTCCATTCTTGTTTAATGTTTTCCTTATTGTAGATGTGTCAACAAAAATGTTAGCATGTGCCAGAGATTTCTGTAGGTCTTTAGCTGACACTCTGGGATTCTTCTTTACCTCATGCAGCATTCTGCGCTGTGCTCTTGCAGTCATTTTTACACGACGACCACGCCTAGGGAGAGTAGCAACAGTGATAAACTTTCTCCATTTGTAGACAGTCTGTATTACCATGGACACATGAACATCAAGGCTTTTGGAGATACTTTTGTAACCCTTTCCAGCTTCATGCAAGCCAACAATTCTTGATCGTAGGTCTTCTGACAGCTCTTTTCTGCGAGGCATGGTTCACATCAGACAGTGCTTCTTGAAACCAGTAAACCCAAAACAGGTGTGTGTTTTTTAAGGGCAGGACAGCTGTCAGCAACACATCCGATATCATCACACTGATTGGAGTCAAGGTTGGCTCACTCCTGGCTCCAATTAGCTCTGGGAAAAGTCATTAAGCTAGGGCCTCACATACTTTTTCCTCCCTGCACAGTGAATGTTTACATGTTATGTTCAATTAAACCATGGCAACATCTAATGTTTGTGTAGTATTATGTTCAGCAGACTGTGTTCTTCTATTGTTGTGACTTAGATGACGTTCAGAGCACATTTTATGCCCAATTCATGCAAAACTCCACGTAATCCCAAGGGGTTCACATACTTTTTCTTGCAACTGTATGTGTATATGGTTAGCCTTACTATCTGTCTGATCATTTGATTATTTATTACAGGTACTTATATAGTGCCGTCAATTTACGCAGCGCTTTAAATATATATTGTACATTCACATCAGTCCCTAACCCTCAAGGGGTGTACAATCTAAGGTCCCTAACTCACATTCATACATACACATACTAGAGCCAATTTAGACAGGATCCAATTAACCTACCAGCATGTCTTTGGGGTGTGAGAGGAAACCAGAGTACCCAGAGGAAACCCATGCAGGTACAGGGAGAACATGCAAACTCCAGGCAGGTGGTGCTGTGGTTGGGATTCAATCCAACAACCCTAGTACTGCCAGGTGGAAGTGATAACCATTAAGCCACTGTGCTGCTGTTAAAGTACCTTCAAGTAAACCTTTCACCTTAGTGCAGCCTGCCTGGTAAAATACTATTTTTGCTCCCAGCTCTTAATATTCACAGTGAGGTTCTGCTCAGCACTAGCCTCAGTTCAGCCTATGCAAAGAAAATGTTCCAGGTTGTGACCTCTTCTACTGCATATGAATTCAGTGCCCCTATCTTTTCCTAGGAACAAGCTTTACTCTTCTGGATGGCTGGAGGCTGACATTAGTACAACTTCTTCATAGGAATGAATGGGGCCACAGTGCGCATGCGCAGCAGGAAGAGGACTGGCTGGGATGCTTTTCTTAGGAAAGGCTGTGTGGTCTTGAGCAGGATTGCAAAGTGAAGAGCACATGAGCACGGAGGAAGGTAAGTAGATTACCAGGTTGATCACTTAATGGAAAGTTGTTGCAAGTGTATGGTTGTCCTTGAAGCAACTAAATCAAAGTTCGGCTAGTTGTCATATTCCTACATTCAACTCTGCTCCAGTATCGCTTATTGAATACCTGAGCTTCTTCCTCTCCATGAACCCCCCCCCCCATTTCCATTAATTGGAAGTTTATATGGAGGACATTATAGATATTGGTTGAACTTGAAAAACATATCTTTTTGAGCATAAGAATTGATAAGAACTATTGAAGGATAAGAATTTTAATACGAACGAGGAGAGTAGCTGTTACCAGAACTTCAACAGATCTCATTAGCAGCATACTGTACTTAAATAGGATTTTACAAGTTCAATAAAGTGAAGCTGTGGTTCGATTAGCAGGTTAAAGAAGAAATTTGTTAAGCATTATTTGCATATAAACTTACTTTCATACTGTAACTCAAGTGTAGAACTATGTACAACATAGGGGGAGATTTACTAAAACTGGTGCACACAGAATCTGGTGCAGTTGTGCATAGCAACCAATCATCTTCAAGGTTTTAGTGTCAAAACTAAACTGAACAATCTGAAGTTAGAAGCGGATTGGTTACTATGCACAGTTGCATGAGATTCTGTGTGCACCAGTTTTAGTAAATCTCCGCCATTGTTTTGATACATTCTTTATATGCTACAATTAATCTTGCAGTTGCTGCAATATTAATTAATATATTTGCATTGCAAATAATGCAAAATACATAGCCCAAGGCCTCCATTGCAATTCTGAACTCCAGCCTTCGAGGGTGCTGGATCCTCAAGGAATCCCAGATAACTGCTACACTTCCAGACATTACAAATGAAGGCTGTGTTCCACACTTCTGCCCACTGAATAACTTTACTGCTATGGCAAGCTGGTCATTCCCGGACCAATACTCAAGTTGGTGGGTGGAGACTAGTGGGGAGAGACCATCCTGCCAGCTCAATAAAGTTATCAATAAGTAGAAGTGTGCAACACAGCCTTCGTTTGTTTAAGAATCATTCCTATATACAATATCACTGACCCCAACTTAGATAATAGCAGAGAACTGGTGCTGCAGCTCTTGTATGCATTCATGTATATGTATGGCTTGTTACCATAGACTGCAAAGTGAAACAAAACAGAAAGTGCACCAATCTTGCGCATTACCTCAGTAAACCAAATGTTATTGAATACAGAATGATACTCACAAACAGCGAAGTAAATCAAGCATGTAAGTCCTCAAAGGAACTTGAGAATTATGTAGCTTGCGCGAGTCCCATCATAGGGGTAGACACTCTGAGTATGGCTGACGCGTTTCGAAGGACGTCCCTTCTTCATTAGAGCTACTCTGATGAAGAAGGGATGCCCTTTGAAATGCGTCAATAAAATTTGGTTTACTGAGGTAATGCGCAAGGTTGGTGCTCTGTTTTGTTTTACTTTGTAGTACTGGTTGGGCTTCCCCAGCCTTGTTTGGAGCTACACAACCCTATATGCATTGGTGGTCGAATTTTTCAAGTTCAGGTTCCATTCATCCACCCTTTATCTGGGTCTCAGAGTGCAGGAGAGGTCGTTTCTGGTTCAATTTGTTACCATAGACTTCAACAAAGAAACCATCTCCCTGTAAGCCTTCAGGAAAATAGGAGAAAAAGGGGCACCTTGGCATCTCTTAGATTGTAAGCGCCAAGGAGCAGGGCCCTCCTAACCCTCTTGTACTGAACTGTATTGTCTCCCATTATAAAGTGCTGAGCAAACTGTTGGCACTATATAAATCCTGTATAATAATAACCATAATAATATTAACCTTCCAAAAGAGAATAGTCAGTATTATATAGAGGGGCAAATGGGATGACCAGGAGAGGTCCCAGGAGAGGGTGCACCTTTCCCTGGAAAGAAACTCTTGATTTACTGTATACACTTCTATAAGCACAATTAAACTGGCTCTAACATCAGACAAAACAATTATTAAATGTAAATTTTAAAAATAAGTGCATAACATAAGTTATTTACCTGATCAGATGCATACACAAGGTCACATAAGCCAAGGATTGTTGTACCAATACCAATAGCAGGTCCATTCACCATGGCTACAAGTGGCTTTGGAAAGTCGATGAATTTACACACAAAATTCCTGAATAAAAAGTAAAAAGAGTATATGAGTAGTATTGTGTGCTGGGCTCCGCTAGCTGCTGCAAAGAGGTTTATTGGCAACAGCATGCACAAAATTAAAGCAGTAGCAAACTCCACTTTTGAAGTTGTACCTACAGGTAAGCCTACAATAAGACTTACCTGTAGGTACAGTGAATATCTCCTAAATTTTCGGTGTTTAGGAAATATGCACACTGGATGCAGCAGGTGACGTTACTGGCACATGCGCTCTGAAGGTGCACTCATGGGTATGCTGTCCCTTCAGAGCTCTGTGCCGTAAACCACTCCCATAAGAATGCGCAGGAGTGACGTCATCGCAGCTTGGCCATTCAAAAGATGGGGGGGGGGGAGGCACACTTAAAACAAAGAAAAAAATTATGATTGGCTCTCGTTTACATACTGCTGCCACTAGGGATTCCCCTCTGACAGCAAAGGAGTCACTGGTTGTTAAGGATGCAGCAGGTACTGGCTCCTTAACAACCAACTATTTACTGGTTGTTAAGGATGCTGGTGGGTGCTGGCTTCTTAACAACCAGCTAGTTATCAAATATATTTAGTTAAATAGTGCATGGCTAGATCATAACTTATTTAAAATCAATTCACAAAAAAAGTACAGAAATACATTTGTTAGACAGGTTTATGCAGCATTTACTGTTTCTTATTTTTGTAATAAATATCACAGTGAATTAGGATTTTCCATAATACATGTGATATTTGGATACATAACCCAAATATCACATGTGATATCCTTTAGTGAATTGTTAGAAATTCTGCATATAGCCCTACAGAACAGACACATATGCACACGTGCACAGTCCACGTGTTTCTGCTTCACTGCAAACAGGAAACTTTTTTCCCAGAGCAGAGACATAGGGGTTGATTTACTAAAATTGGAGCGTGCAAAATTTGACACAGCTCTGCATAGAAGCCAATCAGCTTCCAGGTTTTACTGTCAAAGCTTAATTGAATAAGCTGAAGTTAGAATCTGATTGGCTACCATGCACAGCTGCTATAAATTCTAAGAGCTCCAGTTTTAGTAAATCTACCCCATAGAGCAGGCATTACTAAATTGCGGACCTAGCCACTGTTTTATCCGGATCCGGGCACGCCATTTAGCAGAGTGGACAGCAGGAGAATGCACATTTCTGGAGAGAGTGTGGAATAACAGCACAGCATTGAATAGAGCGCGGGAGCTACTGGGGTTAACTTTTTAAGTTAACCAGCGGTTGATTGGAGGTAGGGCAGACCTAGGAGCCAATCACCTGCTGGGTAATACAAAAATTTAACCCCCACAGCTCCTGTGCTCTATTCAATGCTGTGTGCATGTGGGGGTGGTGGTGCTGGTGGTACAAAGGGTGGAGGGGGATGTAAAAGGGGCAGTTCTGTGAAGGGGTGATGTAAAGGGGGGAAGGTGGCACTGCTGTGGGGGGGAGGGGGTTGATGTTAGGAGGGCAGAGAACACTTGGGGAGGATTTGTGATGCGAGGAGGGGGCATTGCTGTGGAGAGGGAGATGTGAAAGAGGGTAGTGTTGTGGTGGGGGGATGTGAAGTGGCAGAGGACAGTACTGTGGGGTAGGGATGTGTGGCAGTGCTGTGTGTGTGTGTGTGTGTGTTGGGGGCTTTGATGTGAAAAGGGCAGAGAACACTACTATTGAGGGGGGGTGGGATTTGTGATGTGACCGGGTGGGGCAGTGCTGTTGGGAGAGATGTGGGGGGGGGCTATGCTATGGGAAGGGAGATGTAGAGGGGGGGCAATGTGGTGTGGGGATGTGAAGAGGGCACAGTTCTGCTGGGGGTTATGTGAAGGGGCAGAGGACAGTACTGTGGGGAGAGATGTGAAGGAGCAGAGGACAGTAGTGTGGGGCGGGGGTGATTATTTGAAGGGGGGGGGTTGAGAAAATGTTATTGGTCAGACCTCCATGAGTTTTAATTCAGTACCCCTGCCATAGAGTTTATCATAGATGCAACTACAAACTCAAACACTGCAACCTATTGGCTGAAGAATATATATTTACTAAATACTGATGTAGTTATTGCACAAAATACATGAACACGGTATTCCAACATGATTTGAGCCCACAGACATTCACTGGTCCCCTTCTCCATTCAAAGGTATCTTTTCTTTACTTACAGCTATAGTTCATGAATGGAGAAGGGGGTAGAAAGGGCAGGCATAGATGGCACTCCTAAAGAGTGACTGCCACAGGTCCATTGGCTCCATTAACCCCATGCAACACCAGAAAATTACTGCTGCGGGGGGGATCAGAATATGGAAGGTTTTAGATAAAGCAGCAGTCATCTGCACAAGGGACACTTCACATTGATAGTAAGCACTGTCCTTTGTGCTGATTTAAAAAAAAACAAAAAAAAACACACGTTTGACCAAACATAGGCTTTGTGATCATTATCAGTGTTTGCCAAGCTGGATTGGATGCATGGTGATATGCAGTATGTGCTTTTCACACAAAGAAATGCAACAAATAAATTACACTGAGGCTTTATCATCTGTAATTTACATTGTGAACATTTTTTAGATACACGTTACCACTTCCAACTTTTTTCCACCATTCAACATACAGTACCTTTCAATGAAATTTGCCATTTCAGAAGAACAGTGTGTGAACTGTCTTACCTACCAAAGTATTTGTAATTCTGTTCAGCCAATCTTAAGTTCCAGGCACACATGCCAGACAGACAGCACAGCTAGGTCCAAGACCTCCAGTGGAGTTAGGTAAAAAGCTTAAGCTGGCCATACATGAATCAGTTTTTTTTTTGCTCAACCAGCAGTTTGAATGTGTAGATGGAAGAATTGGGTCAGTTTTTTTCATTCAAATACAATGGGGGAATCCTCCCACTGTGTCTTCGTATTCTGATAGCAGGGAGACTTTGCTGTCAAACACAGATCAGAGCTGAACGAGAGGAAATTTTCCAATAGAGAGGTTGAATAAACGTCTATCAGTAGAAGAACTTCTGTTCAACCACAGTGGCCATACATGGATCGAAATTTAGCCAGTCCCTGCTGAACCAGTGAATTTCGAACTGAGTATGGGCAGATTTAGTCAAAGACCCACCCTCAGCTTGCTAACGGGACACAAAAGGAGCAGCAGCACACTGATGGGGTCATTCATTTGACCTATAAGCATGCACACTTTGTTGTAGTGAAAGCACTCTGCAAAGCAGCAATGTAATGACTGTGTCTGTGTGCCGCCTTCCCTCTCTCAGACTTGTCCTTTTGTGAAGGGGATTACAGTAAGATAATGTAAAGATCGAATTCAGGTTATTAAACTAGCGGTGTTTAAAATACATTTTGAAAAAAAAATAATACATACTGGATTAGATAGTTGCGTTTCATAAATCAGCTTAGACTTTACTACTAGACCTATGTCCTGTAAGATGGGCTTAAAGGATAAGTTCAGCTTTTTAGACAAAAATAATAAATGCACATATTTTTGCAGGTAAAAAAATTTGCATTTATTATTTTTGATTTTTTTGATCGCTGGTACCATGCAAGTCTCCTGCAGACCTGTCAGAATATCTGCTTGCCATACAGGATGTACAGTCAAGCAGATATACCGACAGGAAGCTTCAATGAACTACCACGGTGCTCCACAGTGCCATGGTAGTTCATTGAAAACTAGGCTGCTGGAACTTGCAGTTCATTTTTTCATGGAGGTCTGTGAATGAATGATGTGGCCGTCTGGGAGCCCTGCACAGCCACTCTGTTTTTAAATTTGACAGATAGTACGGGGAGCCTTCTCCCCATACTATCTGTCAGTGTGGGGGGGGGGGCAGCTATGGGAACATGTTACACCCTAAAAACGGGTGAGCTTATCCTTTCAGGGCCTTTTCACACCATCTTGATGCGGCATGTGCATTAGTGCAATGAAGTACCATTCATTATGAATGGGACCTCAATGTACCTTCCCAGTACACTAGCATTGCAGCACTTTTCGATGGGGTTGAGGTGTGCTGTGGTGCCAAAATGTTGCATGTACAATTTTTGGTTTGTTGTCATACATTGAACAACCTATTCAAATGAATAGACTGTCCTAATGCAACACAGATCATTTTTCTGTTTGCTGACAAATAAAGCAGGTTTTAAATTTACTGAACTGTCTGCCAAGAGTCTGTTTTGCCCTCTGATCCTGACGTAAATCTAAGTTAGTGGATAGATGTTTTGTGCTGCACATACATCAAGGGAGAACATGCAGGAATTTGCACATAAAACTGTACATTAACACTGATATATGGCACTGATAGGTGGCACTGATATGCGGCACTGACTAGTACTGATGGGCAGCACTGATAGGTGGCACTGATGCACACTGAAAGGCAGCACTGACTGGCAATGATAGGTGGCACTGATTGGCAGCTCAGATGGGCACTGATGTGGCATTGATGTGCACTGGTAGGCACTGAAATGTGGCATTGATGTGGCACTGATGGGCACTGGCAGGTGGCATGGATGAGCACTGACAGCTGGCACTGATGGACACTGACAGGTGGCACTGCTGGGGCTACACAGATCATCAGGGCACACTGATCATCAGTGCCCTGATGATCAGTGCACATGTCCCCTCTGAGGGATGCTGATTATCGGCTCTCCTCTCCTCTCGAGCGGTCAGCGATAACCGGCATTTCCCTATTTACATGCGATCAGCTGTGATTGGACACAGCTGATCACATGACCGAGCCGACATCTTCGGCTCTTTCTGTTGATCGGTGATCTGCTGTGTCCGAGGGAGCCGCGCATGTGCGGTTAGAGTGGGAGGACGTCATATGACGTTCTCCCAGAACGAGAGAACCGCCTTGCGCCCGTCATTGTACTATATGGCGGGCGGGAGGCGGTTAAATAAGCCTATCCTGCTTCTACCTAGTAAACCGCCATTTATTTCCTCCATCAGCTCATCTGCCCACAGCTATTACCTTTTGCATCACTCAACCCTTCCTCCTAGATTGTAAGCTCTAATGAGCCGGGCCCTCTGTTTCTTCTTGTACCAAGTTGTATTGAAACGGTCTACCTTCATTTTGTAAAGCACTGCGCAAACTGTTGGCGCTATATACTGTATAATAATAATAATAATAATAATATTCTGCTTTACAGCTCCCAGTCATGGCTGGGATGGATTTCCACCAAAGACAGTAATAGCATGAAGATTGGATGTTCTGCCCATGTATGTGTGGGTATCATCCAGTAAAACAAAACCTACCTATTGGCAGGTTAATTTGATTCTACCCCACAAAACGTCAGAGGATGTTGTGATGTAATGTTACCAATAGCAACCAGTTAGATTTCAGTTTTCAAACTTTAGAGCTCCTTCATGTTTTTCATTTTGCTCTTTGCTGATTAAATAAGGGTCTTGTATTGTGCATTATGATGCAGATAACAGTTTGACATTTGAGCACATCTTTGATATACATGCTGATTTGGAAAATAAAAAGCAATACCTCACAACATTCGATGATTCTGTTATCATGTCCTCCAGGTTTCCGTTGCTTCTTCTAAGAGCATTATTTAAATCATTGCCACTGGTAAAGTAATCACCATATCCTGCACAGACACATAAAATGGCAAGTTATTTTTAAAACCAACTTAAAAAACTGCGTCCAAGAAAAGGAATGCAGGATTTCAAATATTTAACCACTTCCCCTCCAGAGGATTTATCCCCTTCCTGACCAGGCCATTTTTTGCGATACGGCGCTGCTTCACTTTAACTGACAATTGCGCGGTCATGTAAGGCTGCACCCAAATGAAATTTACGTCCTTTTTTTCCCACAAATAGAGCTTTCTTTGGTGGGATTTGATTCTCTGTGCATTTTTATTTTTTGTGTTATAAATAAAAAAAAAGACCAACAATTTTCAGAAAAAAAAAAAAATATTTTTGACTCTCTGCTGTTAAACATGTCAAGTAAAAAAATACTAAAAAGCATATTGTATTATACGTATTCTGCTACATGTCTTTGCTAAAAAAAAATCCCAATACATGTAAACTAATTGACACTGTACTAATGGCACTGGGCAGGAAGGGGTTAACATCTGGGCAATAAAAGGGTTAACTGTGTGCTGTTTCACTATTTGGGCTGTGTCTGTGTTTCACTTTAAGCACACGGCTTTGCATGGCTCTGCATGGCAGAGCCATACAAAGAAGTGTGTAGGAGCCGACAGGGGAGATAAGAGATCTGTATTGTTTACATACAGGTCTCTCCTCCGTCGGAGATACTTGGCGATCACCGGGTGCTGGTAAGTAATTACCAGCCGGGACCCGGTGACTGACAGCCGAGGCTGCGAATGGCAGTGCAGGTAGGGCACGCACACCCCCTACTCTGAATTGCAAAATCATGTATATATACACACACGTGATTTTGCACACCCGTGCCTCCCTATAACAGTATTTCTGCTATAGAGCAGTGCGGAACTGGTTAATATAGGAGGTAAACATCGTTTGGTTTAGCAATTGTTAATATATTAAAACCTAAAAATGTCCACACTTACCATTGGTATGGTCTTAAAGCCAAAATGCATTGTGCAATCATAACTGTAGGGCAGATTTTACCCACTTCAAAGTGCTTGAATACAGTTAACAATTCTGGTAGAGTATGTGCCGCTTAACCACTTGCCTACTGGGTACTTCTACCCCCTTCCTGCCCATGTCAAATTTCAGCTTTCAGTGTTGTCGCACTTTGATTGACAATTGCGCGGCCATGCAACACTGTACCTATATGACATTTTAATAATTTTTTTTCACATAAATAAAGCTTTATTTTGGTGGTATTTACTCGCCAATGCGCTATAAACAAAAAAAAGAGCAAAAAATTAAAAAAAAAAAAAAATAGTTTTTCTTTGTTTCTATTATAAAATTCTGCAACCAGGTAATTTTTCTCCTTCACTGATGTGCTTTGATGAGGCAGCACTGAAGGGGACTGATAGGCAGTACTGATGGGCACTGATGAGGTGGCATGGATAGGCAACACTGATAGGGGCATTCATAGGAGGCACTGATAGGTGGCAATTATAGGCAGCACTGATGAGCTGGCATTGATGATGCTGCATAGATAAACGGCACTGCTGGGCACAGGTGTGTGGCACTGATGGGCACAGGTGGGTGGCACAGGTGAGCGGCACTGCTGGGCACTGATCATCAGTGCCGATCCCTTTGCTGACAATTGCCGGTTCTCTGCAGTATTTTCCTCTCGCTGTTACAGAGGAAAAGTGCAGCCGATAACCGACAACTGTATTTACCGGTGATCTGCTGTGTCATTGGACATAGCTGATCACGTGGTAAAAGGCTGCTGTGATTGGCCGTTTAGTGTATCACATGATCAGCTGTGTCCATAAGATATAGCGATCACTGGCGGCGCCGGGTGCACGCTGCTGGGGACGCGCAGGGGGTGTTCTGGAATGACGTCCAAGCTGCACTTGGTAGGGCTCTAGCTAGAGAAACTTGTGAACATGTTGAACCTGTGTAAATATTTGTAGAGCAGATACTTTATTTTTGCACAGCTAATTTATTTGCCCTAATGGGTTTGTACATATGTTACTTCCCTTTTCCCCCTCCAAGTTTGTGGGATACTCCGCTTAGATTTTTGTACAAAGTTTTATGTAGGGGCAGCTTCCCAGGCTAATGAGGACAAAAAAAACCCAAAAAAAGAAAACATCCCCTAGACTGGTCATTGAAGACAACGATTGGAAGTGTGTGTGTTTGTGTATTTGGCTGAAGAAATACATTGTGCCTGGCTGTGGGATGGAATAAGGGGAAGCTCGGGAAAACATACAAGCGTCTCCTTGGGGGGTGGGAAGCGCTACACTAAATAAAAGCCTGCTTACTGCCTGCATTAAGGCCCCATTCACACGATGTCGGCATATGGGCATTTTTCTTGCATGTTGTTGCTCTACATGCAGCGCATTTATTTCAGTGGGCTGCTCTATGAGCGACAAAACACAGGGAAGTAGCTCATTCACCTTTTTGAGCTTTGAGCCTTTTGTGAAAAAAAACAACTATGTTTGGGGCCACTGAAAAACGAACGGTACCGCAATACACATTTTGTGAATGCACTCAAAATCTGATCCCACATCATTGTTGTGTGAATACAACCTTGCAGCTGCTTAAACTTCTTTCCAATAGTGTGTTATGACTAGAGATGAGCGAATCGAAGTAGGCGAAGTGGAATTCGAGTCGAATAGAAAATTTTCGATTCGCGCCGAATCCGAAAAATAGCCTACTTCGGACGCGCGAATCAAAATTTTTCCTAAAATGGCGGCGGACATGTGCGGCGACGGAGCGGGGATGTCTGGGAAGGCGCGCAGACAAGGCGCGCTGACCCATAATGCATTCCTTAATGACATGTGATCGCATTAGCCAATCAGCAGCCAGGCAGCCAGCACTGTGTAATGGTCGAGCTATAAATAGCGGCCATTTTAGAATTCTTCATTTGCCTCCAGTCATTCAAGAGAGGCAGACCGCTCTGTATTAGGGACAGAGTTAGGGCCACAGAAACGTTACTTGGGGACAGAGAAACGTTATTTAGGGACAGAGAAGCATTACTCAGGGACACAGAATTGTTAATGAGGGCCACAGAATCGTTACTTAGGCCAAAGAAACGCTAGTTAGGGCCACAGAATTGTTACTCAGGGACAGACAGAATTGTTACTGAGGCACAGAATTGTTACTTAGGGCCACAGAAACGTTATTAGGGCCACAGAATTGTTACTCAGGGACAGACACAGAATTGTTACTGAGGGCCACAGAACTGTTACTTAGGGCCACAGAAACGTTATTAGGGCCACAGAATTGTTACTCAGGGACAGACAGAATTGTTACTGAGTGCCAGAGAATTGTTACTTAGGGCCACAGAAACGTTAGTTAGGGCCACAGAATTGTTACTCAGGGACAGACACAGAATTGTTACTGAGGGCCCACAGAACTGTTACTTAGGGCCACAGAAACGTTATTAGGGCCACAGAATTGTTACTCAGGGACAGACAGAATTGTTACTGAGTGCCAGAGAATTGTTACTTAGGGCCACAGAAACGTTAGTTAGGGCCACAGAATTGTTACTCAGGGACAGACACAGAATTGTTACTGAGGGCCACAGAACTGTTACTGAGGGCCACAGAAACGTTAGTTAGGGCCACAGAATTGTTACTCAGGGACAGACAGAATTGTTACTGAGAGGCCACAGAACTGTTACTTAGGGCCACAGAAACGTTAGTTAGGGCCACAGAATTGTTACTCATTGGACAGACACAGAATTGTTACTGAGGGCCACAGAATTGTTACTTAGGGCCACAGAATTGTTACTCAGGGACAGACAGAATTGTTACTGAGTGCCCAGAGAATTGTTACTTAGGGCCACAGAAACGTTAGTTAGGGCCACAGAATTGTTACTCAGGGACAGACACAGAATTGTTACTGAGGGCCACAGAATTGTTACTTAGGGCCACAGAAACGTTACTCAGGGACACAGAATTGTTACTGAGGGCCACAGAACTGTTACTTAGGGCCACAGAAACGTTAGTTAGGGCCACAGAATTGTTACTCAGGGACAGACACAGAATTGTTACTGAGGGCCACAGAATTGTTACTTAGGGCCACAGAAACGTTACTCAGGGACACAGAATTGTTACTGAGGGCCACAGAACCGTTACTTAGGGCCACAGAATTGTTACTCAGGGACAGACACAGAATTGTTACTCAGGGACACAGAATTGTTACTGAGGGACCACAGAACCGTTACTTAGGGCCACAGAAACGTTACTCAGGGACACAGAATTGTTACTGAGGGCCACATAACCGTTACTTAGGGCCACATAATTGTTACTCAGGGACAGACACAGAATTGTTACTGAGGGACACAGAATTGTTACTGAGGGCCACAACCGTTACTTAGGGCCACAGAATTGTTACTCAGGGACACAGAATTGTTACTGAGGGCCACAGAACCGTTACTTAGGGCCACAGAATTGTTACTCAGGGACACAGAATTGTTACTGAGGGCCACAGAACCGTTACTTAGGGCCACAGAATTGTTACTCAGGGACAGACACAGAATTGTTACTGAGGGACACAGAATTGTTACTGAGGGACACAGAAACGTTACTCAGGGGGACACAGAATTGTTAATCAGGGACACAGAATTGTTACTGAGGGCCACAGAACCGTTACTTAGGGCCACATAAAAGTTAATCAGGGACACAGAATTGTTACTGAGGGCCACAGAACCGTTACTTAGGGCCACAGAATTGTTACTCAGGGACAGACACAGAATTGTTACTGAGGGACACAGAATTGTTACTGAGGGCCACAGAACCGTTACTTAGGGCCACAGAAACGTTAATCAGGGACACAGAATTGTTACTGAGGGCCACAGAACCGTTACTTAGGGCCACATAAACGTTAATCAGGGACACAGAATTGTTACTGAGGGCCACAGAACCGTTACTTAGGGCCACAGAATTGTTACTCACGGACAGACAGACACAGAATTGTTTCTTGAGGGACACAGAATTGTTACTGAGGGCCACAGAACCGTTACTTAGGGCCACAGAAACGT